TTGGGAAATTGCAATCATTGTAAACAAAATTTTGAAGAACTTTTCAACAACATTTGTCAAGTCTCTGATGGCATTATCAAATGTACTGACTAGGTCTTTTTGTAAGAACATTTGTAAAAAAAAAAATCTGCCAATATTAGCCTAAATTAGTTTTATATATTTAGAAGAGCTGGTTTAAGTGGAATTTCATCTTAACTATTAACTATGGTGCAGCAGGTGTTCTAAGCCAGAGCTTTTGTAAAGAGCATTCACTATCTGTTTTGTGCCATTATGTTTGTACAGGGTCTTGAAAATGCCACTTGGACAAGAAGCTTCAAAAACTTTAGAACCAATGTTAGAACAGTGTTTTGCTATGCAGATATTCTATACTTAAAGAATAATTCCAGGTATGTATGCTTTTTACATAGTTACATTGTTCCAGCTTGAACCAATGTAAATATGTAATTATGCACTTTGCCGATGCCCTTGAAGCTAGAAATCACTGATGTAGTCTCTGCTACTCCAGTGATCTTCATCTTGTATTATGAACACAGAAGGTTGGCTGCTCAACAAGGGCACTATTCAGAGAATGCTCTTTTTCTGAATGAGTGCAAAGCATTCTCTGATTGGACAAGGTGGGGAGGCAGGGAAGGGACTTAATGCTCTGCACCTTGTCCAATCAGAGAATGCTTTGCATTCATTCAAGAGATACAAAACATTCATGGAAAGACACCTCTGTGGAGCAACCTGAGTTTACAGTGCAGCAGGACAGCCACTCTGTTCAAGACCCAGAAGGAAGTGGAGATTATAGGAGTAGTGGTGTGGGACCCAGAAGCAAGTGGAGATCACTGGAGTAACTGTGTCTACTTCAGGGATTTTCAGCATCCAGGGGCATTGGCGAAATATGGTATTGTACATTGGTCTATACCTGGAATTCGTCCTTAAAGTATAGACATATAGATGGTTTTAGTATAATCAAGCAACATGTCCAGCAGTGCACAATGGATATCTTGTGCAAGAAGCACAGACTACCTAATACTGTTTGCAAAATCGTTTAGTCAACTTTCCTTCTTTGCAACAAATTTACACTATGATTATATTAACTACAGAGGTGGAAACACGTAATTTTTTTTTTTATAAGTAGAAAATGTTTATTGAAAACCTCAGGAAATTACAAACAGTCTAGCACACTATATATATATATATATATATATATATATATATATATATATATATATATAGGTAAGCATCAGGGGAGACATGAGTGTAGACCATCTTAACCATATACACGGTAATTGATAAATGGACTTCATACAAAGTGGTTGTAAAGGCTCAAGGTTTTTTACCCTCATGCATTCTATGCATGAGGGTAAAAAACCTTCTCTGTGCAGCAGATTCCCCAGCCCCCCTAATACTCAAACCCCCTCTTGTTCCAGTGATGTGCATTGGAGTCTCAGCAATCCCTGGACTCCCTCTCCTCATTGGCTGAATCAAGTACAGCCAGTGAGCCAATGAGAAGAAGATGGCTTAGCCATGGCAGGGTTTAGCCATGGCTCCGTGTGTGAATGGACACAAGCTGCTTGCTGTGGGGCACCCCTCAGGAGGGAGGGGCCAGGAGCACTGGCGGGGGACCCGAGAAGAGGAAGATCTGGGCTGCTCTGTGCAAAACCACTGCACAAAGCAGGTAAGTATGATGTGTTTATTTATTTTTTAAATTTTTTAAGCCTTTAATATCACTTTAATAAGTATTCCTGCCAATAGAGTAAATATCAGTTTGGAGCAAATTATACCAAATAAACAGTGATAGTATGGAACCCCAGGAGTCTATCAAGGCAGACCATATATTTATCAAACTTTTTAGGGCAGTTTCTACTTGGGTAGGTCAACTTGTACATAGTAAAGTGTTATCAATACTGGCGGGCTTTGAAAACAAGGGTGAGGTAGCTTCCACTTAAGAAGGATCTCTGCAGATACACAAGTGGAAAAAAAGATAAACAGATTAACATAATGTTGTGGACCTTTTGAATTATGTCTCAAAAATATGACTTTATCAAGACATAATATTATATGACAAACAGCTCAGTATAGCCGGATGCTAAGAGTTAATTTTGTCTTGGTTGAACCCTCAAGGATTCTAGTTAAGAAATGGAGAAGGGGGGAAGTGAGACCTTTCCAAGACAAAAAGACTGTTTGGACTGTCAACAAGGACTATTTGTATATTGAGGTTGAGAAGAATGCATATACAGAAAGTCAAACAAATAGCCAGATAGGACTTCGACTTTCAAACATTTTAACAATAATGAGACGGGAACTCAACTGGTTGAAAGCTTAACCAAAACGTGCAGAGTGTGATGAACCAACAGACCTCTGAAACTATTACAATATACTATTGTTCACCAAGGGTGAAAGCATTAACAGTTGTTTACCGTGAGTCCAACACAAGGGCCAGGCAAACAGAAAGTTTTTTTTTCCTACACATAGAAAATGTTGATTCTAAAACAAAGAGGTGAAATTCAGGACATTTAAGTCTAAAAGTTGACTGTATATAAAGTCTAAAAGTTGACTGTATATAATTACAAAAATATATTACAAAAACATATTATAAATGAGATGTCATGGATTTTACACACCACTAAATATTCAGAAATGGGAACTATATATCACTAACTTGAGTATTGAGATGATGGGAAGTAAGATGTATTATAAACTAGCATTAGTTACATGTCTTATCAGGAAACAAACAGGATGGTATTTCAAGAAGGAATAACTGAATATACACCTATATTCCATGGTCCCTATTTAGAATATCATAGGTATGATCACTTATATCTGGAAAAAGACGTATATTTGATTCCTGAAATTACCTTAAGATTCCACCCAAGGTATGAGTCATCTCAAATACTCAAATTGTTCTATGATACATGACCGCCACCTGGCGGGCAGGTGAGAAATAGCTTATGTACACACATTTCTCAACTAGCCAATCAGGAAGCCTGGTGGGAAGGTATCTTAGAACAATGGATTAGTGGATATAAAAGCCTTTGTACCTTTAACAGAAAAGGGACCTCATCAAGAAAAAGCTCAAGAAGAGACCTCATCAAAAGAAGACCCTGACATCTGAAGAAGATCTCTGCTGAATAACTACTCTTCCATCCTTTCAAACTTCCTAAAACTTTAACTAAATTTCTAAACCTCTAACCTTATAACTTCCTACATTCTCCCCTACTGAATATCTATCACTTGCCCTATAATATCAGTCTAAAGGCGTTCCACTGCCAGCTAAATCCACGGGAGAGTTGCCTAGTCTGAATTCCGGGTGTGTGGTGAGATGTTTATTTGATTTTGTATCACCTATTTTCTCTGTTGTGTGGAATCATAAAATTACCTTAGTGTATCACAACAATATTGGGTAGTTAGATACATGTAGAGAGATCCTGTTTTTACTGTTAAAAATTGTTTATTGCCATATTATAATTTTTTTTCATATTTCATAATTTATTGAATATTAATAACCAGAGTATCATATATCAAGGGCTTGCTTCTTGCAATCCTATGGCCACGGCTTGTGAGAATATAACCTTTGAGATATTCGAAATTATTAATTATTAATAAATTTAATAAATAATCATATCATTTAAAAATTGTGATATTGATGTAATTAGTTAGAAACCTTATTATTGTGTCTTACATTGGTAGGATATGTTTTTGATTGTGTGTACCAATATTCATTTATCACCAGTCTTTTGCGTTTTGTGTTAATATATATATAATTTTTGTACATAAATAAATTTTTATATTTATCTATTATAAGGCAAATTTTGTGTGTATGGTACGAAATCATATTGGCTAAAAGAATTCAAGGTATAATAATAAGTGGTGATCAAATTATCAAGGTGTCCAAATTATTGGTTTACTAAATATTTGCCGTATTTTAACGGCTGGAGGCACTGTAATATTTCATCTAAGGGAAAGGGACACGCCCTTTATAAATAATATATATCCTTACATAAACCACCACAATAACAACACAAATCCACCCCATCTATGATGCCAGCAGGAGCGGAAACACATTATTTAAAGGGCTGTTATTTTTATTTGAAAGTGTTCTTCCTTGTATAAGCTTGGCAATATGTTGTACTTTTATAGTACAAATTATGGAACTCAAATGTAAAATAGATCAGAGTGAGTTGTGAATTTTCCTCTATACGTTTCTTTACCAATCTTGCAGAAATAATGTTGTAGTTTACTTACTAACTGGGCTGAGTTTGTTTACTGAAGACTGGATGGTCTTGTTTGACCAAATAGAAAACAAGTAAAGCAGTAAACAGCCAATAATTAATGGTTATATCTTAAAAAAAATAAAGAAAATGTATATCAGCAAATCACCTGTGAACTGATTATTCAGCTTTGCTCTCTGAAGCCTGGGTACACTCATGGCAGCCACCACAACCTGTAGCACCCAGCTGGTGTAACCAGGCTGGAAAGATGCAAACAGACAGAGTCAGATTCTTTTTCACTGGACAAGTGAGACAGTAGTCATACTGACCACCAATGTAATTACAGTACAAAAAAAAACAAAACTCCTGACTACCAATGTAATAGGGGCATTTTTACTCACCAATAATAAATGGGGCAAATGTATCTACTATATATATATATATATATATATATATATATATAACTTTCAATGGCCCCCAAAATAAAGGGGTGTTTGTAAGGAATACTAGTTTTTAAAGGGCTGTACTAATGATTGTTAACGTAAAGGAAGCTGTTCCACGGCCTTTAGCCTGTTTACCAAGGGCCGAATCTAAAGGTGAAAGGGGACATTCCATTGGACACCAAAGAACAGGGGACATTTTTACTGACCACCAATGTAATAGCAGCATTTTACCAGCCAAGGCAAGATGGGTATTTCCATTGACCATGAATGTAAAGCGGCATTTTTCCTTCTAAAATGGTGTATCACAAGAGCACATTAACCATTAAATATTTATTCAATAGAAAAAAAAAACATGAATGTAGAAAAAGTAATTTATGCTGAAGACGAAAGGGAGATTATAAATTTCCTAAGCGATGCTGAAGATATTGGGAACGATATAATCCTTATGAGTGCCGTCAATCAGCCCTTCTGCGTTGGAGTGTACAAACCAGCAAGGGACTTTTTTGCCATTCCTGTAATCACTCTTGTAATCTCTTTGCGAACCCCTAAAACATTAAAGTTACACATAAGCTTTTACAGCTGCTACAATCCTATATAACAACATTTATGCACTATAGATATGTATGTAATGTATTGTTCTGGTTTATTTAAAAAGCATTAAAAACAGCAAGGAGACAGATAGGACCCTGAGGAACTGGCTTTGGGGCCTCATCAAAACAATGTGGGCAACTCTGCAATAAAACACTTATGTGATATGATAACAAAACCAAAGAGAAAAACCAAAATCCCATCTCTGCAGTTAAAGTGACATTAAATGATATTCTTATTCTATAAAAATAATGCATGTACATCCACAATCTAATGATCGTTATCTATTTTTCATGAAATTGTTTCTTCACCTATGGTTTGGAAGAGCAGTGCAGGTTAGTTGCAGTAAAGTGCACTGCTATATGCACACTTTAAATCCCATAGTCCACAGTGCATAGTCCATCTCAGGGATGAGCAAGAGATGGTGGCTACATACCTTCATGCAGTTAGATGAAGAAAACTACCCTCTAACAGAAAGTCAGATCACCGCAGCAAAAAAACAAAAAGAAAACAAAAAAAAGGGAACTTGGAGGAGACTGAGAGCAATATAAGGTCCTTTTCTGAGGTATAATAAATAAATACATACTTAGATTTTTTAAAACCAGAGTTTAGTATCACATCTACAGTATTTATACTTCATTTGTAAACTGTACATTGGATTTCATTTTATTTATTTTTAAAAAATCCACTGATAAAATCCACTGATAAGTCTTGGTGTGGATTTTTAAAAAATCCACACTAAGACTTAAAAATGTGCTGTTAGGGGAGGAGAGATGTCGTCATGACCATCGAAACCCAGCAACTTGTTGGGAAGATGTCTATTAGAAAACCTTTGCTGAAAAGGACAGAACTTAAGACTGCTACTTCTGTAACCTGCATCTGTTATTTAAAGTGGTAGTAAAGTCCGCTTTGCAACTTTATCTACAGGTAAGCCTATAATAAAGCATACCTGCAGGTAAGATGAATATCTCCTAAATGTGCACCATTTAGGAGATATTCCAATGAGCAGCAGCTGGTGAAGTCACCTGGTGCATGCGCTCTGAAAGAACGGCATACCTTGTTGGCTGAGACACAGCAGCAGGAAAATTGGCTCCCACTGCTGTCAATAACAGTCAGTGAGCCAATGAGGCTCTATGTGACTTATGGACTTATACAGTGGGACATGGGAACGAGCATGTACGAGTGCACCCATAGTAAGTAGCTTGCTATTGTGGGCACTGGTCAAGGGGGAGTGCCAGTGGGGGACCCGAGAAGAAAAGGATTAGGGCTGATCTGTGAAAAACCATTGCACAGGGCAGGTAAGTATGACAAGTTTGTTGTTTTTTTTTTTAAATAAACAAACTTAATATCACTTTAGGCACCTAGCACTACCTTGGTAGCAGTAGTGGGTTTCTTTAGTTCAGGTCAAGAGATCAAGTGCCCAGGGAGATAAAGCAGCTAGGGAGCAAAGGAAAGATAGGGTGGCAAAGAAAAGAACTGCATACTTTAACCAAAATGATAAATGAGATCAAGGAGAATGTAGGGAATTTAAAGTCATTATTGCTAATGTTAAATAACAGAATGTAAGGACCATCCTAGTGAATAGATGTTCATAGAACCTATTTTGCATTCATTCTCTTTTTATTGACACATTCTTTCCTAATACTCTTTATAAAGCTCCTGATAGGTCAATGAACCAGGTGAACCACCCTTAATTTCCATGTTTTCCAGCTACTGCAGATATTATATTAAACTACATCCCATCTGTACACATCTCTTCTTACCTTGTCACTGTCAGTAACTTATTCTTCACTTTCATTGTAGCATCTGGCTTATCAGGATTTTTCGTTTTATGGATATTGGAAATTTCATAATCAATCCCATGGAAAAACTGGCCTAGAAAAATAACAAAGTATCCCCATGATAAATGGTAATGATTTTTAGCAGGATAATATAAATGCTTTTTTTTTCTTCTTCAGTTACTTCCACATCTCTAGGCCTAAGCAAATGATGTCATACATTCCAGGAGTCTTTGGGAGGGCAGGAGGGGTTTTCTCTGCTAAGCACATCTTCCTACCTGTACATCTAACCTAAGGGCAAATGGATTCCATGAAGTAAATGCTACATGAATCATCTACCCTTACTCAAGATGGCCACAGCCAGAAATGCTAGGAGGAGGAGCTTTTCAAATAATTTCTCAACAAAATAAAACATGGAGACATGGATGGAAAGGGGGGGAATCTTTGAATAATAAAAATTAATTAAATATCTTTTTGGTTTGTTTAGTTCTGGTTTAAGTAGAGGTGGCATAAAATTCACTGAAAAGATATGTTTTCAGGAAATGCCTAAAGGCAGACAAATTAGGAAATAGACAGACAGAATTGGGTAGGGAGCTGTGGCTGTTGTGTATGTTGTTAGTGTTTTGAATTTTATTCATTGGGAAAGAATAATAGAGGAAATGCAGTTCACAAGTGCAGTACTCAAGGAGTTTACATCAGAGCATACTGAAGTCATGAGCATAGATTCCCAAACCACATTGTTTTTTTTTTTTTTTTGTTAGAAAAAAATTATAGTAGAAAACCAAAAAACCAAAAAAATAAGACCAGAACAGTAAAAACACAACATTCTTCAATTAAACTGAACCTTAGTAAACAAGCTGCCTCAGTGTATCCATTTTTAGAAATATAGGTAAAGGTCTAATGTCCATAAAAAGAACATTCAGTATATATGTGGCTCTAGTACCTGTCTAAAGGCTGGTGAAATATAAGATAGAGATTAGGGATAATTGTGGTAATAAATTTAATTTATTATTCATGTAAATCTATTCTACTGACAAAACACAGTAAAGTGTGGGGCAGGGACAATATCATATCAAATCTGAAGAAACTCCTCTACTTAGTATTCGGTCCCTGAATAGTTGGAGTGGTGCTAATTCTGGTGTACTTAACCAAGCATCCCAAATAGTTGTGATTTAGCTTGCACATCCCAAATGTTGATAGATTATTTTCTCCATGGTTTTAATCCATGTCACGTGGGAAGGAGGAGCAGGAGATAGCCATTTCTGGGCTATGAGTTTCCGAGCGATAAACAGCACATGGAGAATTGCAATGTAAGTATGTGGGGTATATAGTTCCTCTTCTATGGCTCCCAGCAGACAAATCTTAGGGTCCAGGGTAAGCTTAACCCCTTCACGCCTAAGTGTAAAACAAATCTAAATGCCTAAGCACAATTTTGCAATGTTGACATGTGTTAGTAGAACCGTTCATATCATCACAACTACTTTGTACATCCAGGTGAATTATACCACGTTTTTTTCAGGACAAATTGGGCTTTCATTTGGTGGTAAATGGTAATGGATATCTCCTGATTTTTTTTTTTTTTTATTATCAAAGGAATACTGGCCCAAAATAGTAAAAAAAAATATATATTTTTTTTATTTAGCTGTGTGTTTCTTGTTACTACCATAACCTACCACCAAAGAACAACCCAAAATAAATTCTCCAGCTCCTGACGATCGCAGCAATACCATATATGTGTATGTTATTTGTTGTTTGTACCCATAGTATAGCCCAGAAACAATAGTGCGCATTTTGTTTTTGTTTTTTACCTAAAACACACTGACATTGACAATAACTGACACTGATACCAATTTTTTTTTTTTTTTAAATCCTTACCTTTAACCCTGACCTTTTTGACCTTGACCTTTGACCCTGACCTTGACCCAAACAATAACCCTGGCACTGAACTAGATCAAACCTTGATCTAGGTATTTTTTCTTTAATTTAATTTTTTAATATTTATTTATCTTCTTTCTTTTTTTTTCTTACAAACATTTTTTTTTTCTCTCTATGCCAGGAGTTAGAGAGATTTAATGTATCTCTCTTCTCCATGCATAGAGAGAGCAAAAAAAAAACAAGGGGGCCGGGCTGCACAGTGACTGATCACTGTGATAGCCAATCAGAGGCTATCACAGCGATCATGTGACCCGGAATCGGGAATCCCGGGTCTGATCATTAGATCGGGACCTGGGGCTCTCAGTGACACTCTCTGGGAGCATGCAGCACAAAGACAGGTACGCAACTATGTGGCCCCACGGAAAAAAGCCCAGTTCCGTGAGACTGCATATTTGTGTGATGTTGGCGTCAAGGGGTTAAGAATCCAAATTCTATTTATCATGTCTATAATGTATGTCTAGTATCTTGCTAATTTAGAGCATTTCCATAACATGGATAAGTGTACCATTATTAGTTTCGCACCTGGGGCAAAGGGGAGAATCCCTCTTATTCCAGGCATACAAGTTTTGAGGTGTGCAGTAAGTACGGTGAATGATAAAGAGCTGGGTATGCTTCTGAGTTGGAGACAGAGAGATCTTAGTTGCATTTTCTAATATTGTGGAGCATTCCTCATCTGAGAGCTCCTAAGTCTGCAGACCATTGTGCCCTGCAATTGAGAGACAGTGCCTTAGAGACCCGTTGTACATCGAGGATATTTGGCCCTTTCTAGAGGTTGAAGATATAGTTCGAGTAAGAACCATTGGCTCAACGAATAACCATGTAGAGATTTTAGATTGTGCAGAGATGGCATGTCTAAGTTGCAGGTATTGAAAAAAAAAAAGAGATTAGATAAGCCATTTTCAAGTTGCAAAGTTCAAAAGTCCTTCAGCAGTTGACCATAATACAATTGTAGTACGTATTTAATACCCATCACCATCCAGCCAGAAAAGCCTTGCAACTTCCCTAATTCAGAATAGTTAGTGGAATAAAAAATACGAGCGAAGAAGGTGTAGCCGGAATAATTCAAATGAAGTTTAGCCTTAAACCATAATTTATCTGTCAATACTAGGGTAGGGTATCGAGATAAGGCTCCAAACTCCCCTGCCTCCAGACATTCCATCAAATTATCATTGGAAAGGACAGTCACTAGGAGTGGCTTAATGGTGTCAGTAGAGACTTCATCTTGCCAAGCAGTAAGATGTTAAAGTTGTGAAGCCATGTAGTAATAAAATGGATTAGGGACCACCAGTGCACCAGCCTCCTTAGGCTCCTGCAGAGTTTCTAATTTTATATGAGGGGATTGTTTCTTCCAAATCGGACAGCAAAACACAGTATCGCATTGCTTGAAAACATACATGGGGATCCATATCGGGGCGTTATGCAGGGCATATAGCAACTGAGGGGCCCAGATAATTTTTATTAAATTACACCTGCCGACCACCGATAATGGTAATTTATTCCAAATTGCTGTTTTCTGTTTGGAACCTAAGGAGTAAAGGGTAAGGATTTAGCTGGACATATTTGGACAGGGTAGGATGTATATGGATGCCCAAATAACGAAAATAATCTACTGCTTTAATTTGGGATGCAGCCTGCGGCAAGGGATTTGGCATCAGGTCTAGGGGTAGCAGGGTAGATTTATCCCCATTAATCATAAAGCCGGAAAAGGATCCAAATGTGTGGATAAGGGACATCAGTCTTATAATGGAAGGGGACGTATCGCCCTAAAACAGTAGGGCATCATCGGCATATAAAGCCAATTTCTCTTCAATACCGCCCTGTTTTAAACCTACTATATTCTGATCACCCCTAATGGCCAATGCCAAATGTTCTATTGCCAGAGGAAAGAGCAAAGGTGATAGTGGGCATCCTTGTCTTGTGCCTCTGTAAAAGGTGGGGATAGGGCGTTATTTACCCATATTCGAGCTGTGGATGCATTTTAAAGCAATTGAAGCCAAGAAATTAATCCAGTCCCCAAGGTAAATTTGTCGAGGACCTGCCATAAGTACGGCCATTCAACTGTATCGAATGCCTTTGCAGCATCAAGAGAGAATTGCTCTGTTGCCCCCGTTTTCCAGCGGTATTTGTAAATTAAGATACATCTGTCCTGCAGTAAATGGGTCATGGGTTCGATTCCCGACCATGGCACCTCCTGCATGGAGCTTGCATATTCTCCCTGTGCTTGCATGGGTTTCCTCTAGGTGCTCCAGTTTCCTCCCATACTCCAAAGACTCCAAGTTAATTGGATCCTGTCTAAATTGGCCCTAATATGTGTATGTATGAATGTGAGTTAGGGACCTTAGATTGTACACCCCTTGAGGGTTAGGGACTGATGTGAATGTTCAATATATATATGTGTAAAGCACTGCGTAAATTGACAGCACTATATAAGTACCTGAAATAAATAAATAAATTAGGTGGTGCTGCTGTTATTAGTTGAATGGCAGCATCATTGAACCCACTTCCTATGAGCACTGAGCTATGGGGACTTCATCCAGCCACCCTGGGCATACAGAAAAATGCTGCAGCTTGCTGTGTCATGTCATTATGAGGAAGAATAATTAAATTGGATGTATTCACCATTAAGAACAAATGATTAAATATGGGTCTGTTTATCTTGTATAAATACATAAATGCTACATATAGCAAACACATTGGAAAGCTGTTCGCATACTGCAGAAGACATGTGGACACACTTTGTAACTGGAAGAAAGGGGTTGAACCTTTTCACTAGGAAAGTGCTCTTTACTGTAAGAGCTTTGAAAATGTGGAATAGACATCCACAACAGTTAGGTCCAATGGACACAAAAGATTGCTTGAAAAAATGTTTGCTGTATTTTATCCAAAAATGGACTGAATACGGGTACTACCTTATTTTATTATCATCTTTTCTAATAACAAATGCCACTATTTGATTGCCATCTCTGTATCTATTTTTGTATTGTATGCCACTTAAAATCCAGCTTGTGTGATCTTTGGAAGTAATCAACAAATAAACTGCTCATATGTAGTTCTAAGGTACATGCAGGGCTGAACAAGATAAATCAATAGAGTCTTTCATCCACACTAAACAGTGTGCTTGGAGATATCTCCCCTCTCAGCTATTGTATTCTGCCAGTCAGCACAAGCGACTTTTAGAATACCTGAACAGTGAATGTATCTGATTGGCTTAAGACACTGTTGGCCAAGAATGTTTCACCAGGCTTCTTCAATTTTCAGAACAAAGACACTGAGCTGGGTGGTCCAGACAGGGCTAAACATGGCTCCAATTAAAGCTTGGTATTGCCAGCATAGATATAAAATCCATATGTGAAGTCTTCTGATAATAGGTTAATCAATGCTTGTCTGCATGCAATGGTTCATTAAAAATGGTTTCTAGTGTACAAATACAGTCACCTTACCTAACAATCCATGAACACCTGATGAAAATGTATGATCATCCAAAGTATAGAATCCTAAGAAATCAGTGTGTAGAGGATCATCTTTTGCAAAATGATGTAAAAGAATTACAAATTTTGCTCCTTCTCCAAATGACAGTGTTACATTGTTTTGCTTATTGACAACCAGGTTAAGCCTGCAATAATAAAAAAGAAAACTAGTAAAATAAATACAGTGTCTACTTTTTGATTAGTCAGCATTGGCTATGGTCCAGGGTGGTAAGACTGCCAGAGGTGGAACAAAATCTTCCAGACATCATGGGGTTTATTTACTAAACCTGGTTGACTCAGAATCTTGGGCATCTGTGCATGGTAGCCAATCAGCTTCTAACCTTAGCATGTTCAGTTAAGCTTCAGCAATAAAACCTGGAAGCTGATTGGTTTTTATGCAGAAGTGGACAAGATTCTGAGTCAACCAGGTTTAGTAAATAAACCCCCATGTTACCTTCCTCTGTACAAAAGTCTCGAGCATACAGCTGTGCTCAAAGTTTGTATACCCTGGCAGAAATCCTGAAATTATGGCATTCATATTGAAAGTATGACTGATCATGCCAAAAAAAATTGTCTTTTATTTAATAGTGATCATATAAAGCGATTTGTTATCACATAGTTGTATGGCTTCTTTTTAAATCATAATGATAACAGAAATCACCCAAATGGCCCTGATCAAAAGTTTACATACCCTGGAAAGTCTGTTCTTAGTACAAACACACAAGGTGACGCACACAGGTTAAAATGGCAATTAAAGGTTAATTTCCCACATCTGTGGCTTTTAAATTACAATTAGCATCTGTGTATAAATAGCCAATGAGTTTGTTAGCTCTCAAGTGGATGCACTGAGCAGACTAGATATGGAGTCATGAGGAGAAGAAAAGAACAGTCAAAAGACCTGTGTAACAAGGTAATGGAACTTTATACAGATGGAAAAGGATATAAAAAGTCAGCACTGTTAAATCACTTATTAAGAAGTGGAAATTTGGGGATCTCTTGATACAAGTACAGGTAGACCAAGAAAGATTGCAGCCACAACTGCAAGTTACTGTCAGGATTGTATACACCCACCTGCCATTAGGGCTGCATATACGCACAAAGACCTTTATCTTTGGGTTAGTTGATGCTGATACTGTAAACCCTGTTTGCACCAGTTATAATTTGGTTTAACATCACTACAGTTCAGTTGATTGCCATATTATGAGTTAGTATTCCCATTATCTAGAACAGCATATTTAAACCTGACTGCCTGTCTATTGATTCATGTGTTTCTTAACTGCATTGCCAAAATACATCCTTTCAGTCTACCATCCAGTTGCTTGTGGCCTATTTTCTGTCTATTACTATAGAGTGGTAGCATACTAACTTTTAAGTTACAGAGGTGTGTCAGTGGGGTCAGAGCAGCTTAACCACTTCTCGCCTGTAGGACATACCCGTACGTCCTCAGGTTGAAGTGGTTATACTTGTGCCATGGCTGTAGCTGCAGTCATGATGACTCCAGTATCAAGCTTTTCAGCTAGTGATGCTCAATATTGTAAAAGCGATCTGAGCGGATGTAGAGAGCCACTAGATTGATTTTACAGGGGGTGGAAAGTGGTCCCCCCCACCGTCTTCCTCTGCAGTGGAACGGGAGAGCACGGGACTGAAGCCAGCAACCATAAATATAAAGGAGATAAAGGAGAAATTGAAGTTCACCCATCATATCTATGGTCTATGAAAATTGGAAACGATGGCGATTTTGTCGATTTTACTTCAGTTTTTGTTTTTTTTTAAATAAAATACATTTTAAACATTTAACTCACATCCACCCCCTGTGTTCACAAGCAGAGGTGAAAGCATACATAGGTTCCGCACAGATATGTAAATGATGATCGCACCACGCATGTGTGGTATCACAGCAAATATTATAGTGAGAGCAATAATTCTAGATCATGGTGATGATTGCTACCGCATGTGCACATGTGCTCGCGCATGCACAGTTCGGGGGAACCTACTCTGGTGACATCAGACCCTGGTAGTAGCTGGCATGCTCACATGCTCCGGATTGGGGGTAGAAATGGTGGGGCCGGTCAGGACCCTTGTTGAAGATGCAGGAGGGGAAGTTTCACTCTCGATTCTTTTAAGGTAGACCACAATTTAATACTATCTCAAGAATTGGTATATAACTTTATTTGATTCCACACTTGGGAGACTTTTGATTATCATCAGTACATTATTTAAGATTTATTGCATGTGGGGATTATATATAGTGGAGACCCCTTTGCTTATTTTTAATTATTGGCTATTTGTAAGCTACATGGGCCAGATGTTTACCTCCTTAGAATCATCTTTTATATGCTTGTAGGTCTTCGTTTATGGGGACCCGTCTATGTTTGGTTGGAATTCACATCTCTAGCCCCTTGTTTGTGGTCTCCCTACATTTTGGGATACTAACCATTTGGATATTTTTCATTCCCCCCCTGGCTGAGACATTGTTACCTTGTCTTTAATGTTAGTTTATTGTTGAGGGGTTTTTTTTGTTTTGTTTTTTTGTTTTTCTCCTTTTAACCACTTGCCCTCCTGAGGATTTACCCCCCTTAATGACCAGGCGTCTTTTTGCTACTCGGCGCTACAGCAATTCAACTGATAATTGCGCGGTCATGCAATGCTGCACCTAAACGAAATTTACGTCCTTTTTTTCACACAAATAGAGCTTTCTTTCGGTGGTATTTGATCACCTGTGCGCTTTTTATTTTTTACGCTATGTAAACAAAAAAAGACCAAAAATTTTGAAGAAAAACAATATTTTTTACTTTCAGCTATATAAACAATATATAGTAAACTCAAAGTTAGTTATAAATTTAGGCCAAAATGTATTCTGCTACATGTTTTTGGTAAAAAAAAAATCCCAATAAGTGTATATTGATTGCTTTGTGTGAAAGTTATAGCATCTACAAACTGTGGTATAGATACTGCAATTTACGCCATTTTTTTGCTATACAGCGCTGCGCTAGTTTAACAGACAATTGCGCGGTCATGGAATACGGTACATAAAGGAAATTTACCTCCTTTTTTTCCCACAAATTGAGTTTTTTATTTTTTGCACTATAAAAAAAAAAGGCTGACAATTTTGAGGAAAAAAAACAATATTTTGAACTTTTTGCTATAAAACATGTCCAGTAAAAAAATTTAAAAATCAAATTTAGTCATAAATTTCTGCCAAAATGCATTCTGCAACATGTCTTTGCTAAAAAAAAAAACCCCAATACGTGTAAATTAATTGGTTTACGTGAAAGTTATAGCGTTTACAAATGGCGGGAAAGATACTGGGATTTTTAATTTTTTTTTTAGACTAATAATGGCGGCAATCAGCGACTTATGGTGGCGATCAGCAACTTATGGCGGGACTACGGCGGACATTCTGACACTAAGGGGGGGACTGACTTGGGGTCACTGACATCCCCAGTGACACCAACACAGTGATCAGTGCAAAAAAAAAAAACACTGACACTGTACTAATGGCACTGGGGAGGAAGGGGTTAACTTTATTATTCACTGAAAGGGTTAACTGTGTGAGGGAAGTGTTTTACTAGGGGGGGGGGGGTGTGTACTGCACGGAGACACACTGATCCGGACAGATAAACTCTTCTGTCCCGATCAGCGTGTCAGGAGCTGTCAGGGAACTGACAGAAAGCACAGCTACTGCAGCTGTGCTCTCTGTCAGTGATTGCCGCTAATCGCCAGGACATAGCCGGTAACGACCGGCTGTGACCCAGCGACTGAAATCCGCGGCCGTGATCAGCGGGACAGGTAGGTTTTGAAAACGCACATTTTAAAACGTGGTTTTGCCCAGCCGTGCCCCCTGCCAATGTATTTATACAGTGGCTGGGCGGCATGTGGTTAATATGGTTTCCTTCATATTTTTTTAGTCCTCTGGGTGCTAATCTGCCACTGTGCCCATCATTTTGCCCCCGGTGGCCGCCATGTGAAGGACATGCTGGTGCCCTCATTTGGCCTCTTCTATTTTGCATGAGCTAACATTGGTAAGCAATGTATTTGTGGATCTTGAGATATCAATATGCAACATGTAGTATTTGTAATGAGATATTGTATTTTGACTGTTATGATTCTATTTCAGAGTAGTCTTTGACTTTTCCTCTTGAAGAAGCGGATTATTTCCGCAAAACATGTAGAGGAGTCAACATTATCTCCTATCGGGGGGTGGAGCTGTAACAACTATAATCTTTGTGAATTATGTGACTATGTTGTTAAATCTTTGTGATTTTAGAACAGATTCATGTACATTGGCAGCACAGTGGCTAAATGGTTAGCACTTCCATCTGGCAGTACTAGGGTCGCTGGTTCAAATCCCAGCCACAGCACCACCTGCCTGGAGTTTGTATGTTCTCCCTGTGTGGGTTTCCTCCGGGTGCTCTGGTTTCCTCCCACACTCCAAAGACATACTGGTAGGTTAATTGGATCCTGTCTAAATTGGCCATAGTATGTATGCATGTAAGTTAGGGACCTTAGATTATACATCCCTTGAGGGTTAGGGACTGATATGAATGAACAATATATGTGTAAAGCACTGCGTAAATTGATGGCGCTATATAAGTATCTGAAATAAATAATAAATGTCTGATCAAAAAATTCTTTGTGCATCAATAAAAATATATTGTTTTTATGACTGTGTTGTCCTTTGGGTGCCGAGATTCCATTCTCTCTTTTGGGGTTTTTTTCCCCTTCAATTTTTCTACAGTAGCATTAGGGTGTAGTACCTGACTGGATTTGGCACAATTGCTTCTTTGGCAGCATAAAGTGCACATACTGTAGACGCAGTAAGATTTGTTTTAGGTGTATTTTTAGGGGTTCATTTGGTTACAGTTGGGGCCTGAATTAAGGAGTTTAGTTTCATAAAACTAAGTAAAGTTCCCTTCCATACCCTTTCGCCTTGACAGATGTTTTCTTCTCCCATGTGTATTCCTTCTTGTTTTTACCCATCATGATAGTAATTGCCTCAGTTGTCACCTCAATTCTCAGTTTCAGATTTCTGTTTACAATCCCTAGTTTTCCAAAGTAGGTTTCCTTTGATATCACATTGCCCTTCTTTCCAATAATTTCACCATTGACTGCAATGCCTACAAAACAGAATATATTAAAGGGTCACAATATTCCATTACAGTAGCATATGAATATTAAATTGATGACAAATTACAATTAAATAATCTAATGGGGTTAGGTTGAAATGTATATAAGCATCAAGGTGTTTGGAGTTAAAATATGTTTCAGTTCAGTTTTCCTGTAAAACAGAATGATACTGTGCAGCTACAAACCAGCAAATGAGGATAGCAATAGCTTATTCTAAAAGGTTAAAAACAGGCACAATACAGCACATTAGTTACTCATTTCAAACGTACAAAAATTCTGTTTTAAATATGCTAATTTACTGGAAGAATCTACAAAAAACACAGCAAATACTTAAGGGTACAATAATCAATAATTTGATGGCAATTTCACCTTACTTTAACCCATAATTCTTTGTGGCACATTCACCTAAATATCAGCCAAAATTAGTGGAAATTCACCCAAAATTACCCAGTGAAAATAACAGGTCTTTACTATTACCTTCCCTGCACATTCACCTGACAACTCCTAATAAGTACTTGTAAGTAAATGATAATCCTATTTTTAATTAAATATCCCCTGGCTGAGCTGTTATATCAGTGGTTCTTAACCTTTTTTGAGTCATGGACCCATTTAAGAATCTGATGAAAGCAATGGGCCCCTTCTCCAGAAATATTCACTGAACACAACTTTGCATCCAATGAATACATCTACTTTATTTTATTGAAATTTGATTGCTTCATACATATATGCCATGCACATGGTTTGAATAAAGTAAACAATCTTAACAAAAACTCACTCCTTTTAATGCATAAAGTAATTGTCACTCATTACTAAAATTAAATACAGTCATCTTGTGTAAGTTAAACAAATCAATTTTAATTCTGCTCAAATCTACTACTATTATTACTACTACTACCACTACTACTACTAGAAAATGAGAATTAGCACTTCCTTATATGGAGTGGCACAAGATGGTGTTTGTGCAAAGAACAATGATAAATTTTAAATGGTAAACATCAGCCAAAAACGAGTCAAGAAACTATTAGCGGTTGACGCTATAAGCAGTGGGCAGGGTGTGTTTTCTTTCATTTCTTTCAAAGGGAAACCATAGCAGAGGGCTGTATAGTGAATGTAAATGTTATTTTTTTTATCTAAAAATCATCCATGGACCACTTTAAGAACCCTTGTGTTAGATCATTGCATCAGGTAAGAGTGAAATAGGAAATTATATAAAGCAGTAATAAAACTGTATATAAAATAAATATGGACAGTGATGTAAATAATTTTGATGTACAGTAACTGAATTCATATAAATAGACCTCATTCCAGCCAGGTGAGAGTTGACATGTGACCACCTGCCATGGGGTTCTGCACTCAACACATTATTCACCACCTAACCAGACATGGCTACAAAATCGTTTACATGAAACACTGTGGTACAGTATAGTAATTGTATAATTATAGTGGCAACAAATGGAATTCCCATCCCACAACAATTACTTTAATGAAAGATGATTTGTATCAGTGCAGTCAAAAACAGTAAGGAAATGTTCTGCTACACTGGAACCCCAAGGGGGACCAAAACTCTGCCATATATCCAAACGTCAATGACTGTCAAATTTGAATGAGACTGTATGAAACAGTGGGATTTTCCTTAGACATACTGTAGGTAGGTTATCTGGGTTGTGATTGTAAACATCCACATAATATTCTCTGCAGCAGTCAGTATAACTGTATAATCAGAATCTTTATGTGTACATTAATGTAACAAAGACAAATGGTCACACAATGTATAACATACCTAGTTCTTGGTCCTCAACAAGATTCAACACCACTCCAGGCTCCTCTTGTATGTTAAAGCACAAAGCATCATTCTTGCTTGGAACATTTATCACAAAATGGGGATCAGAATCAACTGTTAAGACAGAGTTACACTGGTATGACAATATGATAGAGAATGGCCTGTGATATTTATGGAAGGTTATTAGGAGAGAAGTAGTAAAGACAAAGTTACATTTTTAGCTCTGTATAAGACTAGTAAAAATTATAATAGCTTATCTCTTCTGGACCACAAAGATAAAGCAATTAAGGTAAATCCAATGCCAGAGAGATTCCTACAAGCATGTTTAAAAATGTTTACTGCTCAGTTCAGACGTGCTTTAAATTGGTACTGGTGGCTTAGAATTTAGGACATTCACCTAAGTGATCTAAAGTAATTGTCTTTTTTTCTTTGGTCTTAATTGGAAACCATAGCAGGTGTCATGGACTAAATGATCATGAGTTTTGTTCTCTGTCCTTGAGAAACATATGTCTTGATCTATCTGCCCAGAAACATAATGCTATGAAGATTATATAGTCCATATTACTCTAAAATGTTAACAAATTCTGGCCCCAGAAACCATTGTTTAGAGAAATACATACTGTGGTTGATTTATTAAAGGCAAGCAAGTTTGCACTTTGCAAGGACATTTTTCCTTTGAATTAACTAAGTCCGGAGAAAATGTGAAACTTTCCTTTAATGGACCCTTAAAAAAATTACATATACCCAAGGCAAGGCACTGACATGAGAACCCAACATCTATTAGAACCTGGCATTATAAAGTTATTGCTCTTTTAAGTGTATGCCAAGATAAAGTAAAAAAAAAAAAGAAGTACATCTCTGCAATACATGCACATGTTCAATCTCTCTAAAGACCCAGCAAGTACAGAAAAATACCTGTTAATCTGCCATAAATGTATTCAGCATACTGTTGTGGTTTGACAACACAGATTTTTTGTGCACTGAGTCTTGTCAACCCTGCCCAGTTTATTCTGCTAAATTACTCAACCATTCCACTCTTAGACCCCTAAAACATTAAGGTTTTTCATTTGTCCGTCAAGATAAGAACTCAAAGGACTCTGAAATAACACAACAAGGGTGTTCAGGATACACAACAGTTCTGAATTTCTAACAAGAACAGCAAGCTTCTTCTGTACTTATCAAAGAGATATAACAAAATGCTTTATAACATACTTACCCCAATTATAAGGTGTCTGAGCTGTTAAAAAAACCATAAGCAAGATATATTTTAATAACAGAAGATGCTTTACACATAATAATCATAAGAACATTTGTGGCTCTTACCCAGAGAAACGTATGTCTTGATCTATCTGCCCAGAACATAATGCTATGAAGATTATATAGTCCATATTACTCTAAAATGTCAACAAATTCTGACCCCAGAAACCATTGTTTAGAGAAATGCATACTGTGGTTGATTTATTAAAGGCAAGCAAGTTTGCACTTTGCAAAGACATTTTTCCTGACTTAGTGAAGGCAGGGAAGTGGTGATGTCTTCACCATCCATTTTTACGAAATTCGCTAAGCTCCGGAGAAAATTCCCTTGCAAGTGAAACTTTCCTTGGGAAATGAATGGCTTACTTGCCCTTAAAAAATTAACCCTACTGTTTCCATGTGCTTTACTATATGCTGCAGGCACAAGCCAAAGTGCAAATTATGCTGTGACAGGCCACATTGGTTAACACTAGTGTCACTCCCTGAGGGCTAGCCATAGACATTAGGAAACAGTCAGACATCCATGCACAATTAAACCTCTCAACAAACATCTACAAGCCTGTTTCTCCCTTATAAAGCCCTTTAACCACATGGGTGTTCTAGGGGTAATTAAATGATAAGAGGGAGCTATACAGGATCACTCCCTGCACAGCAAAATCAATCAGGTTTTTCCATGATCAAGTTGTTCCTGAATATACTTGTGTGACACTGCACTGCATTGACACTGCATTGTCAGACAGACATTGTATGTGTATGATTACCACTAGTAAGACCCATCTCCTCTTTAAAGTCTCTCTAGGGCAGAATTCTTGCTCTAATATTTACATAAAAGGCACATAGCTCACATTTGAAAAGCAGAGACTGCAGCATCCTACTTGGTTTTCATTGTGGTGGATATGCTTTATCATGGTCATGCTTTGCTGCTATGAGTTCTGCAGCCCTTCATAGCCCATTGAAGATATTTTCCTCATACCTCTGGGGTGGGTGTTATTTCTAGAGCTACTCGCCTCCTGCCTTCACACACAGATCATAGACCAAGATCAGAGCCACTAAGAGTAATGTTAACCTTTAAGACCCAATTACATATACCCAAGGCACTGACATGAGAACCCAACATCTATTAGAACCTGGCATTATAAAGTTATTGCTCTTTTAAGTGTATGCCAAGATAAAGTAAAAAAAAAAAAAGTACATCTCTGCAATACATGCACATGTTCAATCTCTCTAAAGACCCAGCAAGTACAGAAAAATACCTGTTAATCTGCCATAAATGTATTCAGCATACTGTTGTGGTTTGACAACACAGATTTTTTATGGACTGAGTCTTGTCAGCCCTGCCCAGTTTATTCTGCTAAACTACTCAACCACTAACACTCTTAGACCCCTAAAACATAAAGGTTTTTCATTCGTCCGTCAAGATAAGAACTCAAAGGACTCTGAAACAACACAACAAGGGTGTTCAGTATACATGACAGTTCTGAATTTCTAACAAGAACAGCAAGCTTCTTCTATACTTATCAAAGAGATATAACAAAATGCTTTATAACATACTTACCCCAATTATAAGGTGTCTGAGCTGTTAAAAAACGATAAGCAAGATATATTTTAATAACAGAAGATGCTTTGCACATAATCATAAGAACATTTGTGGCTCTTACTCAGAGGCAGACTGACAACTCATGGGGCCCCCGGGCAATAGGGGATCATGAGACCCCTGTGTCCTTGCCCAAGCTCAAAAAAGCCTATGAAAAAGGTACCAGGGGCATCTCATGGGGCCCCCTACTGACCCCGGGCCCTCGGGCAGTGCCTGAGTTTCCAAATGGTCAGTCCGCCTCTGCTTTTACCACTACACAAGTAAAGTGAAAGACTACATGTTGTATATGGGAAGATATAGTCTATGCTAGGATTGAGAAAACTCCATACTCATATATTCATAATCATTCAGAGGGATGCTATAAAGAAATGACCCATCAAAACTACTTGGTAATGAACAGCAGCTTATAAGAATCGTGTAGACCTCTGCAAATTTTGATGATGTAAATCAAAAAAAGGTAGCGCTTATTAAATCAACTCAATAATAATCAAATAATAAATAAATCAACCCTTATTTGATGATAGTGACAAAATAAATAAATAATAAATATTATAAAATTATATGTGAATTTCATGAATAAATGTGCTTCAAAAATATAATTTAAGTTTTTTTGGCGCTGTATTCACTTATATGTTGTTATATTAAATTTTGATGATGCTCTCAAGAGCTTATTAGCACATTTATTACATTAAAGTGGATCTTCACCACGCATCACTCCCCTCTCCCTGCCTCTTTTCTGTGCCACCATCTTAAAAAATCCTGGGACCTGGCAGAGTTCTGTGGTGCATCTGTACACTCTTCGGGGATTTCTGAACATGTGCGCAAATGCCACTGATTGACAAGTTTTCCAACATTCCCATATGTTGGAGTTATGGTGTGGCAAAAATGGGGATTTAACTTCTTGCTGATTGCATAATGCACGTATGTGGAGAAGTGGGCTTTAACGCCTAGCTGCACATATGCATCTACAGTGATCTGAGGTTGTGTTCTGAGAACAAACTCGCTGCTTGCTCCCAGCACACTAACCAAGCTGTCTTTAACAGATTTCAGTCATGGCTTCTGATTGGAAGTTAGTGGGATGGGCTCCTGATCATGTGATAGCTGTGAGTGACCATTTTAACTTGGGCATTGCCCGAGGGCCCACATGGATGAGAAAACCTTTCTGGCATTGAAGCAGGGGCCCCACTATTTGCCCCATGAGTTGTCAGGCCCCTGCTGTGAGTGGGATAGAAAACCTTCTGGCAGCCAGAAGGGCTGCTGGGAGGCAGCCAGAGAAGGTTAAAGCAAGCTTGTTTACATTGTATTTAGCAATCTGTTGGTTTTCTATTAGAAAAGTGATTACTTCTATGCATCACAACAGGTGCGACCCCCCTCTCAGACCTCGCCACTGCATGTTTCCTGGGACACGCATGTGTATGTAATTGGGCAACACATATTAGGTATTCAATGCATGACAGAGTGAGAAATAATTCTAGGACCTTTAATTGCACAGTAATTTCAAACTGATGAACTAAAGGTTTCTAAAGCATCGTCTTTTGACAATTTGGGGTATCCTATTTGCTTTTTTCACAGACACAGCCAATTTTGACATGAACATAACAAAAGCTGTTACCCCCAGCCAGTGCCGGGACAAAGTCATCCAGTGGCCCAGGGTGAACATGGCAAACTGTGCCCCCCCCCCCCCCCAGGATGGGGCTAATATTGGTGCAAGGTTTGTAATGCATGTAATGCTTGTGACATGCACTGAAATAGTACTAATGTACCATCTAGCTTTTGAAATGAGGGACATCTCAGGGAAATAGCTACCTGTGGAGTGCATAGTGTGCCACAATGAAGAGTGGATGTGCTTAATTATAATTGCTGGGAGGTTGGGCTGCCACCTCCTTTAAAAACCACGAATACATTAATTACACAGGTTCTGGGGCTGATTAAGGTGGTAATTAAACCCATTTTGCGCTTTATCTGCATTAAATTAGCCTCAGAACCTGTGTAATTAATGTGTTCGAGTTTAAAGGGATGAGGTGTCAACCCTACCAGGAGGGGGCAAACTGGCACCCCCTGGGTGCCTCAACTGCTGCATCCTTTAACTGCAGAGGGAGCGCCTGGGAATGTACACATCCAGCGGCTGTCATGTTTTGCTTCACAGCTGCAGCATGAATTATATATCCCTTGTCAAACTTGACCCATTCAAGTGAATGGTGCTGCTCTGCAACTGCCCCACAACTTTGTGCAATGGACATGGTTGCGGTATGCTAGTGCAGGGTTGAAGGTGTTAAAGCAGGCAGTTAGGAGGCAATACAATGCCACCTTACAGCCAGTCAAATGCTTCCTGAAGAGCAATCTGACTGCAGATTGCTCTTCAGAGACCAAAACACGTGTGAAACAAGCCCTAAATATTTGTTTTTTAATTCTTTGAAATATAGTTTTTAGAATGTAATTTAACAGCCCTTTGTTGAAATATCAAGGCTCTAAATAGACCCCATGTGGCAACATGTGTTTTGGTGTATGTGAAAAGGCATGTGTTAGCAGATGCAGGGTAGTGCCATTAACAGTTAATTGCAATGCTGCACACCTACTAATGGACAGTGTGTTTTCGTGGGTACCAGGAAAGTCACAATTCTTTGGACATTCCTGACATGGAAAGGTGTGAATCTTGCTTTATAGTGGGCTCACACTGGTGTGCTGTGGTTTGGCTGCAGTGTGATTGTATGTGCGGTTTCAGGAGCGCTCCCATTGAATTCTATTGCACAGTGCATTTTGTGAAAGCCCATCAGAGATGCAGCATGTCGGACTTTGTGGTTTCATGAAAATGCAATGTGTAATAGAATCCATTGGGAGCGCTCCTGAAACTGCAGGTATACGCACATACAATTACACTGTGGCCACACCGCAGTGCATGGTTATTAGGAATAAGAAAGAGTACACAGGTGTGGGTGGTAAGAGTATGTTTTTATGACGTGCAGAGTGAAGGGAGTGCAGAGAAAGTGCTAGTGCTGCATTATGGGGACAGGACAGTTAGTAGATTGGGATGAAAAGGGTGTAAGACAGACAGCTGTATGCAATGCCCAGAGCTGAGACCACAGGCTGCAGGAGGTGTACAGTGCAGATGTATGGATGGGACAGCAGGTAAAAGAAGGAAAAGGGTTATTGGGAACAGGAGAGAGGAGCAGGAGGATCGGTGCTGACCTACATTGTGCAGGGAAGGTAAAGAGACCTGTAGATGGCTGAAAGTGACCATCAAGGCAGACTGTGAACTGACTCGCGTAGGAGAACTAGCTGGGATCAGGAGCTGGACTCGGAAGGAGAGGAGTGATTGATGGCTGCAGGAGAGATACAGCAGAGTTGTAGTGGCCGAAACAGAAGAGATGGGGAAGTGATACCTTGTGCAGTAATATGAGGGAGAATGACAGTTTCACCTGTCAGACAAGAGCAGAAGCTCCCAGTGCTCCCCCCTCACCACAGATTATGACAGCGCCCAGTACAGGCGCCCCTTCTGTCCCTGGCTTGTCCCAGCCCTGTCCCCCCTCTGCTCAGAATACTACCACTGCCAGGCCATAGGCCAGAAATGGATGTCCATGGGTTCCACCGGGAATGCCTAGCTGGTTCAGCCCTCTTCAGATGGGGGAATCCCGTATCAAATACGAAAATTAAAGAACAGGATGGCGCAAACACCTAGTGCATTACCAGGGATTTATTTGTAAAAAATCCAATAAGTGCCAAGTGGTTACTCACAACAGTAGAGGAAGAAACACAAGATGCCACAATGAATGGAAACTGCATGTAGTCAGGAAACCCTGCCAAGCTGGCAAGCTGTGTTTCGGGGGTGCACTCCCTTCTTCAGAGCTAAGCTGGCCAGCATAAGTCATACTTAGATATACTGTATATACTCTCATCACATTGACCCCTCCAGTTGTCACATACAGGGGAGGGCGGGGTCCAGCCAATGGTAGGTTTGATGAGGTCCGTTTAAAAGGCTATTAAAATATCATATGATATAAATACAGTGGGTAAAATAAGTATTGAACTCATCACTAGTTTTATCAGTAAATATATTTCTAAAGGTACTAATGACTTTAAATTTTCACCATAATATTATTATTATAATAATACAGGATTTATATAGTGCTAACAGTTTGCTCAGCGCTTTACAATATAAAGCTAGACAATACAGCAACGATACAGTTTAATACAAGACGGTTAGGAGGGCCCTGCTCCCTGTTCCCCCAACGGTATCTTTCCTTTGAGACAGTATTGAAAAACTTTCTTGTTCTCATGCTCCAGTAAGTCCCTCAGCTCTTCTCTTTTAAGGGTAACTTTCTGGTGCACCTCTAGATCCAACTTTTTTTTATGTGCCTGTTCTAATTTATGTAACTCTTCCATTACCCCCTTTATTTTCCTCTCATTCTTTTTTTTTTTCATGCCTAAAGCTATCAAGATTCCCCTTATGTACGCTTTATGGGCCTCCCAAATAGTAACCACTGATATTTCCTCTGTTTCATTTATGATAAAAAATTGCTCAATTTCCCACCTTAACCTATTCTCTATTTCAGGGTCTTGTAAAAGTGCCTCATTTAATCTCCATGTAGCCCTTTTATGCTGCTCACACCTAACCGTAGTTTCGCCGTGACAGTAGCATGGTCTGAGATAGATATCACCTCAATCTCAGATTTTATCAGAGATTCCAATTGTCTGTGCTCTATTAAAATATAGTCCGATCGTGAATACGATCTGTGCACTGGCGAGAAGAAGGTATAGTCTCTTTCTCTAGGGTGTTTTACCCTCCATGTATCTATTAATTGATTTTGAAATAATTTATTTTTTAATATTCTCAATTTTCTACTTCCCTCTCTCTATGCACCTGAAGACGCATCCAACCAAGGATCCAAACACAGAATAATATCTCCTGCCGTGATGAGACTACCTTTCTTAAAATTCATTATTTTCCGAGCACCTCTTGAAGAAATACTTCTGGGTTCTTATTTGGACAGT